GTGTGTGTGTGTGTGTGTGTGCGTGCGCAAGCATGTAAGTGTGTCTATGCTGAGGGCAGGGAGCCTGTGCATCTAAGTGTGTGTGCGCGCACACGTGTAAGTGTGTCTATGTTGAGGGCAGGGAGCCTGTGCATCTAAGTGTGTGTGCGCGCACACGTGTAAGTGTGTCTATGTTGAGGGCAGGGAGCCTGGTGACTCAGAAGCCTCAGCTGCTTCCTCTCTGGGGATTAAGGGACCAATAAGCCCCCAGCTTAGCATCCATCTGTTAGTGACCCAGCAGGGGAGTGAGGTGGGTGGGAGGGAGCGTGTCCCCAGCGAGTGGGCAGGAGCAGCACAGGCCCCATGACGTGACCCCCCACCAGCCCTCTCCACTGGCCCCAGGTTTCAGGCTCCAGAGCCCCGAGCTCCCGGGCGCACCCCTACCTCTGCGCGGTACGGCAGGAAGATGGTGCTGGCCAGGTTGCCTGTAATTCCACTGAGGATGAAGATGATGGCGATGCGGTGCCAGCCGGCCAGCTTCTCCAGGTCCCTCAGGATGGTCATTTGGAAGACGACAGACACCAGGCAGTGCACCACGCTGGGGTGGGGACACAGTAGGCATGGGCGTTCCCAAGTCAGCTCACGGCCGCAGACAGTGTGAGGCCATGCCAGGGTGCCCGGCACGAAGCCCTTCCTTGGCGGTCCAGGGACAGCCAGCACGGGGTCCCCTCTTACCCGGCATGCAGGAACAGAGACAGCCAGAGGCGGTAGAACTGGTCAGGGACCTCGGGGTTGAGGAAGGGTAGCAGGCCGCACACCTTGTCCAAGCAGTGCACCTGGGGGGCAGGGTCTGGTGGTCAGTGCCCGGGGAGGCGGGGGCACCACAGCATCGTGCCCCCACCCCCCCCGGCTTCTTACCTGCGAACAGAGCGTGGCTTCCTCGTGGAAGTATCCGTGCATGAACTCACAGTACTCTCGGGTAGTGATCTCACAGCTGGGGGGTGGGAGGCAGGAGGACGAGGCGTCAAGGCCTGGGGAGCCCTTCGCCTCTGCCCACCTCCATCCAACCCAACATCTGGCCACAGCAGGTGCTTCTGGCAGCAAGTGGGGGCTCTTCTGTAGAGCCCCCACTCCGGGGAAGACCCCCTGCCAGACGCTCACATCCAAGGTGTCCCCAGAGTGAGGCAGGCCAGGCTGGGTTGGGGAGCTGGCCCGGAGGAGCCCCCAGGCAGGCCTGGGCTCACCTGCCCTTGGTGCCAATGCAGCAGGGCCGGCCCTTGATCTGACAGTCCATGTGCAGGAAACCTGTGTGATTGCTCCTGGCCTGCTCCGTGCAGATCTGCGGGCAGCAAGGGGGTGGCAGGCTGGCTGTGCATTGCCCTTGTCCCATCCAACTCCCACCCAGACCACAGCCCATCTGGGGCACTCACCGGCCACTTGGTGATGTCATCCGGCCAGATGTGAGCACCACTGGAGGCCGGCTCCTCACAGGTCCTGGAGGTGGAAGTCAGAGGGGGCAGAGTGAGGGGTCACCTGCCGGCTGTGCCCATCCATTGGTGTCCCAGGGGGTGAGGGGGTGTCACAGTGTGTTCCCATCCTCTCTGGGAACAGAGGAGGTGACTGTGGGGCCCAGAAGCTGTACCTGGGATCCTGGTGACACACTGCTCCCGATGTCCGTTTCTGGCCCTGCTCAGACTTGTCCATGGGGGGCCCAGTGTCATCCTGCCATTTGACAAACGTGGCCAGAGTCTCCTGGAGGACAGAGGAGGGCTGGTCATGAATGGTCATCCCATCTGAGTGGGCCAGGGCCGTGCCCCAGGACAGGGGAGGGCAGAGAGGCAGGGCCGTGGCCACTGTCTGTGATGAGCCCCACCCCACGGGAGAGGAGCCTCCCCAGGGCTCAGCGGTGTGAGTGTGGCTGGGATGAGGGGGACAGCACCTGTGGCTAAGGCGGGGCAGAGGGGCACGGGGCATGGCGGGGACACAGCGCAGGGCAGGCGTGGGGGTCAGGTGTGGGGGCACCTACTGAGCAGTCCTTGCGCTGGGTCTGGATGCAGCCCGAGTGGTCATTCTGGACGCAGCAGCCAGAGTCCTGCTCCAGCTCCCGCTCCCGCCGCACCAGCTGCTCGATCTGCTGGTCCTTCCGGATGCAGGGCGAGAACTTGGCGCCCAGGTGGATCAAGTCGATCTGGGGAGGAGAGAGTACGGGCCCGGGTCACCGTGAACCCTTCCTGCTGGAGGAGGCCATGCGGCAGCGGGTAGCGCCCCAGCCCGGTGCGGGGCACAGGGGGTCCCCAGCCAGGGCCTCACCGAGCTGGGGCCGATCCAGAAGTTCTCCTGCTGGATGTACTTGACGCTCTCATAGACACCTTTGTTCCGCAGGACCTGGCACAGGGCAGGAAGTATGGGGTGTGAGGCTGGCGAGGACCCCAAGCACCTGGGGCCCAGCAGGGGGTCACTGACGCCCACCTCGGGTGCAGCAGGTCCATCATGGGGAGAGGGGCTGTCAGGGCAGCAGGAGGCTGGGGGGTCTCTTGTCCTCGGTACTGCCCTGCCATTGGGACAAAGCTGGGTGGAGTAGGGTGAATTCTAAGCAACCCCTGGTTGGCAGTGGAGACCCTAAAGCTTTGGGGAGCCTGGGACCCTAAGCCCGCAGCCCACTCACCAGTTGGGTGGTGACGTGCTGGGCGAAGCCCACGGGGGCGATGCCGTACGTGCAGATCACCAGCAATGTGATGATTACGTGGACGAAGGTCAGCCAGTAGGTGAAGTAGGGCCTGTGGGGGGGCCCCAGCTCATTCATATTGATCCTGTGATGCAGTCAGACCCAGCACAGGCCCCCCGCTGCCCTGAGAACAAGCCACAACCCTCTCGCTGGCCAAGCTGTGCCAGGGTGGCCACCTTCCTCGATCCTGGAACACATACTCTACCTCCTGCCCCAGGGCCTTTGCACATCAGTTCCTTCACCCTAGAAACTCTTCCTTTTGCTCCCCCACATGCCCCTCCCCACTAGCTGTTCACCCCTGGCTCCTCTGTGGCCGTGACCTCACCTATCATCACCCTCACCCTCATCACAGCTGTCACCACCCCTAGAGCACACAGGCCCCTCACAACCCCGCTGTTCGTAATTCAGAGTCCAGTGTGTATTGGGTCACTCACTGCCCATCACCCACACACCCTGGACCTCCAGCTGCTTTCTCCTGGGATGTCTGTGCACCTCCTGACCTCACACTTGTGGTCCCAGCTTCTAACTGTCCCAGCGGACTGTAATCTCAGCTTCTAACTGACCCTGGGGGCTGGAGACTCAGCTTCTAACTGTCTGCTGGATGACTGCACCTGGGAGGCGGGCAGGTGGGGGGGTAGCAGCGAGGCCCCGACGAAGGGTCCCAGGTGCAGCCACTCTCCCTAAGGACAGGGTGCTGCCGTACTGGCCTCTGTCCTTTGGAGGAGATGGAGGGACACTGAGTGACGTTAGCGGGGAGGGGGAGGTTCTCAGTGGGTCCCTCTCCTGTCTTCACCCAGAAGGTGGGGTGCTGGCCACCCGCTGCCTCGGGTTGGGAGGTGGAGGCCCTGGGTGGGGTGGGGGGCCCTCCTGCATCCCGTGGCCACGCCCCCCAGCACCCCCGCTTGCCCACCGGTGGCTGTCGAAGCTCTCCAGCTGCCTCTGCACGGTGCTGCTGATGCTGCGGCGATAACTGCGGTTCAGCCAGTTGCCCACCACGCCCAGGCCGTAGAGCCGCTTCTTGCGGTCAAAGGCGAAGTGCTTCACCTTGGAGGCGATGCGCTTGCCACGCTTGGCCGTTGGGGCCAGGGCACGGCCATAGTCCTTCCTGTTGGGAGGGCAGCTGTCAGTCCCCATGTCCTGTCCACACACCCCAGATGCAGCACAGGGCTCAGAGAGAGAGGTGTGGGCCCCAGCGGGGACACGAATGTGGAGAGGTGTCTGCTGAGAGCCCTTCAGCCCCTGAACAGGGGAAGGGACCCCCCCCCAGCACTCACAGCGGGACCTGTACCCCCTCAGGGGAGACCGGCGAGGCTGAGTGAGGAACCCCTCGGAAGTTGCTGGCGGAGAGCGGGGGAGACTCAAACACATCATCGGGCATGGAGCTCATTTCTTCCTGGGGGTGTGGGAGGGGGACAGAAAGAGATGGTGTAAGGAGCTGCCAACCCAAACCCTGCCCTCACACCCCAGGTCAAGGGCAGGATGAAACTGGACGGGCTCTTCAGCTGTCACCCATCCTCACCTGGCCCAGGACAAAGGAGGGCCTGGTAGTACCCCATAATGGCACTCCCTACCCACAGGTGGGCCTCAGACCCTCAGTCAGCCAAGGCTGAGGTCAAGGTCACCTCACCCTTGGCCTAGGTCATCCAGCCCAGCCCCGAGGGCCCACACCCCATGCTTGCCTTACTAAAAAATGAGGAGTCAAAGGTGTCCGCCCCATCGACCACGTCCTCGTCAAGGAAGCTGGGGTAGGCGAAGCTGGGCTTGAACACACGGCGTGGCTGTCCAGCCACATCCAACACCGAACGTCCCTGGCACAGGGGAGAGATGCCATCTTCAAGACCCTGCCTTGCAGCTGTCCTTAGAGCCTGGGCCCCCAGACCCAGGCTCTGCAGCCTCCTGGTATCCAGGAGACCATCAAGTCCTATCCATGTGAGGCAGTGCCAGGGATAGGGGGAGACTGCTCAAAGGTGGGGAGCCTGGAGTTTCCCAAGAGCCTCTCCATCAGCCCTGGATGCATTGCTGACTCCTGATTCTGGGGACTGCCGTACCTCTAACCTGGGCTGCTGGTGCCCCATAACTCCTAAGTAACCCCCGGGCTAAGTTTGGGCATGCAGCTCCCTCACTGTGCCGTTCTGGTTCTGATTCCAGCATTCCTTGCCCCTTGTCTTCGGCCATACTTCCCGGAGACACCCCTAACTCAAAACTACATCAAACTTCCATCTGCTGCCCCCTCAAAGCACCATGCTCCCCCTGCTCCAGGTTTGCACACATGCTGTCCCCGCCTTGTTTTCCTGACACATTTTTTCTCGATTCAACCTGTGTCACCTCCTGGGAAGGGGTCCAGCCCTCACTGTCCCCAGGCGAGGGCTCGTCTCAACAAGGACTTTGGCTTGTTTAACTCTGCAGCTCCACCCCCTGCACACAGCAGGTGCACTGACTGTTAAAACTTCACCTGCTCCCCCAGCTTATATCACTGGAGACGCCACCTCCCCTCTGGGATCACAGATGAGGGCTCGGCCACAGGCTTTCGTGCCCCTCGCATTTATGAATCGTGGGGAACAGGAGAAGGAAGGAGGGAGGCTGGGGTGGGGCTCACCTTCAGGAGGGCGGCAGCAGCCTGGAAGCTCATGTGAGCCACAGACATCCTCTTGCGGCGGGGTAGGTGGGAATAGCCAGAGCGGACACTGGTGAAGGAGGTGAGGGACAAGACGCCCGGGGTCAGCGGCGGGTGTGGGGCGTGGGGCCGGTCCACTTCGTCCGGATGGCGGAAAGCCCGGCCCCGGGCCAGCGGGTCCACGATCTAGAAAGGAGAGAGGTAGTGACGGGCCCCACCTAGCCCCCGTGGGCAGAGTGTCCCCACCACGGCTCCGGTCCCCGTGGCCCACCTTGGGCATCTTGCAGGGCTTTGGCGACTCGATGCCCTGGAAGGAAGGCACCTCCTGGCTGGGCAGCTCCAGGTCGCGCTGGCATGAGGCCTTCAGCTTGCCGTAGCGCACGCTGCAGTGGTGCAGGCTCCGGCGCTGCCAGTTCTGCCGCTTCCCCTCCCAGTCACCGCTGACCCCGAACCACTGGGCCGTGCCTCTGCGAGAGCAGACAGTGAGGACGTGGGCGAGCGTGCAGCTGGCACCACGGAGGTGAGTGTGTACTGAGTGTGAAACAGTGTGAGGGTGTGGCTGTGCACCACAGAGGTGAGTGTGCACTGAGTGTG